GAGGACACTCCTTTCAATAACGACAGAGAGAGAAGCGCAGGGCGCAGCAGCAGCAGCAGCAGGGACTTGGCAAGGGTAAAGCGGGGGGGAGTAAGGGGGGGGGGATGAGGTAAGAAATAGAGCTGCTGAGAGATATAAGCCCTCATCATGCAAGACACAATGTGAAGGTGGTTATCGATCAAATCGAGACACAGCGTTCGGCGGCGGCTGTGCGCGCGCTAGGGGCGCGCATGCGCGGCGGCGCGTCGGCTTCGCTCGCCGCCAGTCGGCCTTCTCCTTCCGGCAGTGTAGCCGGCGGCGAGCCTAGCGGGCCTATCCCACTACAGCGACAACTGAGGGCAGGCCGGGGCGCCGTGCGTAGCCATTCGCCACACAACTTAGAGAACTCGCTGGTTAAAAATGATGAATCCCAATGGTATCGATTGGCCCGGCAGCTCTCTCACTCCCTCCCCAACAACGTGGAGGGGGCAGCCCCCCTCTCCCGGTCCCGGTCCCCACTCCGTCTCTCCCTCTCTCTCTCTCTCTTTCGGTCCCCTCCTCCTCTCCCGCCTGCACCTCCCTCTCTCTCTCCCGGCCGCGCGCAGCCCGCTCGCAGCTCCTCCGGTCATTGAACGCTGTAAGTGTACAGTAGGCAGCCCGTGCCCCCTCCCCCGCTCCGCCCCCTCCCCCGCCCCCGCTGCGCGCGCGTTAGACGCGTTCAGGTCCACCTCCTCGCCGTGCATGCGGCCCTGGTCCGTGGGTACCTCCCACAGCCGTGCCCAGGCTCTCGCCGGGGGGTACCAGCGGGTACCGGCGGGTGCCAGGCGTTCGAAAACGGGTACCAGACCACTCTGCCGGTGCCTGGAGAGAGGGAGGGGGGGTTTCGGATGGTGGATGGTGGTGGACAACTCGCTTCGGCGGGTACCGCAGTACCAGCCCGTGCGCGGGTATCACTCTAATCGCGCTGAGGTTATTTGCTTTTCGTGATGTTTCCAAATAGAGAAAAGAACGACAGTACTTTTAAAGTTGATCAAATATTTTGGAATGTCGTTGTACTGAAAAATATGTGAGTGTGTGACTGGGGAGGGGATTGGATTTGTATCTTTTAATTGCACGAATTTAAGCAATGACATTTCTGCATTGATTTGAACCCTTTTGTCCGTTCATTAGAGCAAAATCATAAAGTTTTGCAGCACAAATTTATCAGCAGTAAGAGCACTTAACTTTGCTCAGACAGAAACTTTCAAATGTAAACGTTCATTTGGCTTGTAAACGAATTTTTACTTTTAAAATACAAGACAGTCTCACGACAATGTGCAAGGCAAGGAGTGTGCATTAACTTTCAAAAACGTTTGGCAACAGTAGTTAATTTGTAAAATAATAAATACAAAATTAGAGGGTACCTCTTGCTGGTAGCAGCCGCGCGCCCCTCGCCCTACGCACTGGGCGGTGCCTTGCGCAGGTCAGGGGGCCCCAGCCGAGGCCCGTACCAAGGCCCCAAACGGGGCTAAAGTGGGGCTCACTGGGGGGCTTTACTCGCTAAAGGAAGAGGGAGGGAGGCTGCGGAGAGCTCCTCATCCCCCCCACAACGTTCTCGTGTGAGGAGGGCGCAAAACAACTTAATATGGGGTAATATTTATTTACCTTCCATCTCTAAGAAAACGTTAGGGGGTCTGTCAAGCGAATACAGTGTGCACGGCAGAGTGTCATTTTTAACACTGAGAAACCGGGGCCTTTACTCACTATTTCTCCCCCGAGCCCGATAAAGAAGAGATCTTTCTAGACATCTCGTTGAATCTGAAGTTAATGCTTACACGTAAGTGTACTTTACTTACCCTTTTTCTTTTCAAACAGCAGGCCGATTGTTATTATTATTCCAGCACCCACGCAGTACAGCACAGATCACCACTGCGAAGAAAACAAAAAAAAATTAAAAACGGTTTGCGGTAGTTATGGAAAAGTCCACACCATATTCTTATAAGTAAACAAAGCAACCCGTAGTAAACGTAGTAGGGCGAAATGCTGACCGGATACAACACTAGTAGTCACCACCTCAACCATCAGAGCGGTATGAGACAGAGATAAAGGTACGTAGTCAGCCTGACGGCCAAGCAATACCGTCCGCTCAGCAGAGGTGCCGAGGTGGTGGCCTAACCAGCGGGCGCTCCGCCGGCGGGAGACCGGCAACTGGGCTGTGACACTTTGCGAACGGCCGCCAAGACGGCCGCCAATCCAGTATTCCAAGTCTAAAGTTGTCTATGTAAGCAACAAATGTAAGTCACAAGCAAGCAAGCCATACAGTCACTCGCCCCATATTGATTTGGCCATTCGTTTCCAAGGCTGTAGTATGTTTTACATTTGTAGCAGGTTAAATCTTAGTAAGATGTAATAGTAGCGTGTGTGCTGTGCGTGCAAGTGGAAGAAGGAGAAGGGTTAACGCGATGTGTCTCGGGTCAGCGGCGCCGGAAGTAACGTACCGGAAGTAACGCACGTGCTTGGCACGTGTGACACGTCGTGTATTCCTGTGACACACCCAGCCCCCTTCACACAGTGCCAATTTTCACATGTTTGCGATCCATAATTATGAGAGCAACACGTGGAAAATAAACAGATAAAAATACAATGTAAATAACCCTCGTGTACCAATATTATTTTTTTTAAATTCATTTTAAAAAAATATTATTCTAAAAATGACAAAATTTTATTGAGAGTTAGAGTGAGGTAATTATTCGCAGTCGTGCACAACTGACTCTGATTACTCTGGCCTCGGGCACAGCGCATTCCACACTAACCCTCCCCCCTTTTTATTTGCTTCCCGATGGCGGAGGGGGGCGGGGAGGAGGGGGGGGGGGCTGCCCCCACCTCCTACAACCTTTTTTCCTGAAACGAGAAATTAAGTTGCGAAAAAAAAGGCAAGAAAGGACAGAGTGGCGGGGAAAGTGTTAAGTTGAGAATAAAGAGGCGTTCTTTTCCCAGCATTAGCCAGCCGCAGCGGTGGCAGAGGATGACCCCAGATAAGTAAATGAGCAACCCTCCGGGCACCCATCCATCCTCCCCCTCCCCCCGGCCCGGCGTGGCCCGGCCGAGGGCGTGAGATCACCCGAGAGGTACTACCTCCGGCGTAACGCCTCCCCCCGCCTATCGCGCCTGCTGATTGATGGCGCGCCTGCTCCGCGTCTTCCCCTATCAGCGGCGCGGTCTTGTTCTCCTCCTTCGTGCGCGCGCGCGCGCGGGGCGCGGCCCCGTGTTGTTATCAGTGTCAGTCTTGACGGGGTGCTCTCCCCGCCGCGCCCCGCCCTGCTGCATCTAATTACCAGTGCGACGCTGCGCCGGTCCGCGTCCGGGCGGGGCCGCGGGGGTGAACACCCCGCCGGTGGTGTCCGCGTCGCGCCTCCCCACCTGGCCCGGCGGCCCCGGACAAGACAAACACCCCTGCCGTGTAACACAACACCCGCAGGCCGAGCGCGCGGGACGGGGGCGGGGACGGGGTGGCCCGGGGCCGCGGGGGGGCTCCACCTCGCGGTCAGACGGCTGGCCGGTGGTGGGCTAGTCTAGGGCCGTGGTGAGTGTGCTTGTGTGTGTGTGTGTGTGTGCGGGTGTATCGCGTCTCTTTGTTTGCATCTGCCACGTCTATGTACCTAGGAAGCTGCTGCAGAAGCGCTTGATGTGTCTTACGTATACTACTTTTCCTCCCGCGCGAAGCTGGAAAGCGTATACGACGGCGAGGTCGGTTCAGCAGGGCCCCAGCTCCGGGCGGGCGGGTTGCGCGCTTCTTCGTACATAACGAGACAACGCCAAGTCAAACGGTGTGTGTAATCGCGTTTTCCTCAGCCCGTGCAGTTATTATTTTTCTCCCGGGGGAACGCGCGTTGCATGGTGGTGGTGGGGCTCAAGTGTGGATGGGACAGAATGAGCGGCCCGCTCGCGGGGGGGCGCTGCACATGCGCTTTCATTACCTTGTACAATGCGGCGGGGCGCGGCGCTGCGCGAAAGTGCGCCAAAAGGACAAATTTCTCGCTTTTGTCAGGTCGTTTCAGAAAGTGTGGCCCCCTCATCCCTTCCTCCTCCTGCCGCGCGACCTCTGCCGGGCGAGCTCGGCGCGCTCTCACGGCACACATTGCGACGTGTGGTGTGGGGTGTTTGGGCGCCGTTCTCTCACGTACTGGCGCCACCTGACTCGCTTTGCTAATCCCCAACGTGCGGCTGTGCACTGCGGACCAACAATTGCGGTTCCTTTTTATTTTTAATTGTTTTTTGTCGCTGTGCGAGCTGTGTCCGTTTTAGGGTGAGCAGCACCAGCAGCGGACGGGCTCGGGCTCGGGGTATCTGTCCGGGCTGCAGCACTGCACATCACTTCAATCGTGCATCGGCCGATAAATTAGTAATCAGATTACGGTGTCGCATCAGCAGGGCGTGGCGAGGCGTAGCGCTTGATATGTGGCGCTTGCGAATC